CGCTAAAGCCTTTCGCGATCGAATTATAAACGCGCCAGGAAGAGATAAGCTTAAAATTAATTAATATTAAAATATATATATATTCTACGCGAGATTTAGCAATTTTATTTTGATTTCAATTAGCAATATATTTAATTGTACAATATATAGTATTTTTTTAACGATTCCGTTCAACGTATCTGCGATTACAATGTTTGTGTCGGTTCGGATGAAGCAATATCGAATTAATCTCGCGACGTCATCGAATTCGTATACTTTGGGTCTTCTTTGCACACATGCGCGCGTGTTCCTGTAGCCGTAAAAGAAAAAAAAATCAAGGAAAGAGCAGTATAGAAAAGAAGAGGAGAGAGAAACCGGCCGAGTATCGCGCGAGTATCGGAGCGGCTAAGTAAACACGAGAGCGAGAGAGCATCCAACATTGGGTGCCGGTTTTTACCCGTGCGCTTTGCATTTCGGGGAACGCGCAGTTGTGTACACTGTCGTCGTCTTCATTTACGTCTACCGACGAGTCTTTCCTTCGTCAGGTACCTCGTTCTCGCGAAAATCGAGACACCGATACTCCAATAGCGCCGGTCGCGCCAATAAAAGAGAATCACGTTTTTTTCGCGAAGAGTGTGATTGCATGGTATATCTTGGGTATGTTAAGTTAGCACCCCAACTATAGTACTCAGGAGTTCTGATTAGAGTTCCCTAGTTAATAACAAGAGTTTCGCTCAATAAAGATTTTTTTTACATTTTTTAAAAATGGGGTGCTAACTTTTTATCGAATTTCGAGGTGGAATAGTTCTGAGCGGCTTAATAGCTTCAATTTGCGATTGCCTAGAGTTCCTGATATGTAAAAAAAATTTTCGAATATTAAAAAAAAAATTAAAAATTTTTGAAAAATTAATTTTTAGATACACTAGTTCTGATGATAATTCCTGCTTCTTTTTGACGATACGAAGAGTTCTTTATGATTTTTAATGACATATGCGCTTAATAATCATTTTTTAATAATTTTTTAAAAATGGGGTGCTAACTTTTTA